GAAAAGTGTTGCTCTTATCTACAGACTCATCCAGAGTGGTCAGTTACAGCAGGACAGAGTTGCTTGTCCTCAGAGGTGTAGCAGGTTGCTTAAACAGTAAACAATATAGTGTGGTAGGGGAAAACCACAAGGACCCTTAGTTTTGGATTTGTTATTCCAGGACAAGCCATAGACATGGGCAAAAGCTGTCTTCCCAATTTAGAAGTGGATAAGCTCTGTTTATGTAGATAATGTGAAGTTAGAGCAGCACTCAGGGGAGGGCAGAATACATCCTTATATTCCTCTGAAAGATAATAATTCATTGTATGCCTTAACACCTGAAAACTGCAGACATAAAATCACCTTTCTAGAGTTATAGCAACGCTGCCAGTACTCCATGTTTTCCTTTACAGCTTACAGCATAAGGACATTGGCTGGTTATCATCTGTGCACCACTGAATGTGTGAAGTTTGTGAAGGGGAGAAGCAGAACTCCCACGCCCCTTACCAAAGAGCAGTGTAGCACCTCTGGCTTCACTGGCCTGGCTGTCCTGGGGAAGAGGCAATAGACACAAACCTTCCCTTTACACCGTGGAATTTGGATGATCATTCATAGATTTCAAAATGAGGAAGATGGCGACTGAAATTTTATCAGGTATCCTGGGATAATATCCACAACTTATGTGTGTGTGTGTTCTTTTTTGTGAAGGATTACAGTATTTCCTCACTGTGAGGTTGTCATCAATCATCTTCCTTTAAACAAAACTTAGAAACCATGCATTTTGTGATCCATTCCGCACAGGACTATGACATAATCTTGGAATTTAATATAACCTAATCTTGTATGCAGTTTGGGGGAGAATTTTATCACTTTTTTTTTCTCCAGATGAACATGCTCATATTTGAGGCTGTCGTTGCCAGCATTACTATTGTGACTGATTCTCTTCAGCTGTGATTGGATTTGTATGGCCAGATTTCCTTATCACTACTATTAAACATTTGATCTAATGCTAGATACTTCTTCAACTGAACATGAAATATATTTGTTTAACCAGAAGCTTTACATTCATAGAAAAGAATGACAATTTGTTAATTATTCTTACTATTTTAATGCTCCTTACATGTTCTGCCATTAAATGATTTTTTTTTTTTTCTTTTAATCTGTACAATTAACTAAAATATAATAACAAGAGAAATCACTGTAGGAACACCTGGAGCATCAAGACAGAGCTGTGCCATGTAGTTGTAATGGAAAACAACTAAATCAAGACTTACAAAGCAGCTGAAAGAAATGAAAGGTTTTGTAGAAAGCCCTCAGCAGCATCATGGGCTGCAACTACAACTTTTCAGGGAATCAGAAATTGAGAAAAGGAGGAGAAAACCAGAGACCCCTCTCCACAGTTAACTACCAGGTAATATGAGGAGACTAGTAGGGAGGATCCCTTGGGACTCAGTCTTGAAGGGTAAAAGGGTCCAGAAAGGCTGGACACTCCTCAAGAAGGAAGTCTTAAAGGCACAGGAGTAGGATGTCCCCCTGAGCAGCAAGATGAGCAGATGGGGAGGAAGACCAACATGGATGAACAGGGAGCTCTTCCTGATGCTCTAGGAGAAAAAGAGGATCTGCCTGCTGTGGAGCAAGGGACAGGCAACATGGGGAGAGTACAAAGAAGTTGTTAGGATGTGCAGGGAGAAAATCAGAAAGGCAAAAGTCTAGCTTGAACTCAGCTTGGCCACTGAAGTAAAAGAGAACAAGAAACTTTTACAAATATATTAACAGAAAGAGGAAGGCCAATGAGAATCTCCATTCTTTACTACTCCACCTAGACTGTCACAAGTCCATGGAGCCAGATTAAATCCATCTGAGAGCGCTGAGGGAACTGGAGGTGATAGCCAAGCTGCTTTCCATCATCTATCAGTGTTCTTGATCAACTGGAAAGGTGCAGAAGACTAGAGACTTGACAGTGTAACTGCCATCTACAAGAAGGATCATAAAGAGGATCTGGGGAACTACAGGCCTGTCAGCCTGATCTCGGTGCCCAGTAAGACTATGGAGCAGATTGTCTCGAGGGAGATCACATGGCATGTGCGGGACAACTGGGGGATTAGGCCTAGCCAGCACAGGCTCATGAAGGGCAGGTCCTGCTTGACCAACCCGATCTCCTTCTATGATGTAGTGACCTGGCTGGTGGATGAGGGAAAGGCTGTTGACGTAGTCTACCCAGATTTCAGCAAAGCCTTTGACACTGTCTCCCACAGTACTCTCCTGGAGAAGCTAACAGCCCGTGGCTTGGACAGGTACACTCTCCTGGGTGGAGGGTTGGGCCCAGAGAGTGGTGGTGAATGGAGTTAAATCCAGCTGGTGACCAGTCACAAGTGGTGTTCCCCAGGGGTTGGTATTGGGGTCTGTCCTGTTCAATATCTTTACTGATGAGCTGGATGAGTGCATTGAGAGCACCCTCTGGAAGTCTGCAGATGACACCAAGTTGGCAGGAAGTGTCCATCTGACTGAGGGTAGGAAGACCCTACACAGGGATCTGGACAGGCTGGATTTATGGGGTGAGGCCAATAGGATGAGGTTCAAGAAAACCAAGTGTTGGGACCTGTACTTTGGCCACAGCAACCCCAGGCAACACTACAGGCTTGGGGCAGAGTAGCTGGAAGACTACTCTGTAGAGTGTAGAGGAAACGAAACTGGGGTATCAATCAGTGCATGGCTCAACATGAGCCAGCAGTGTGCCTAGGTGGTATCCTGGCTTATATTAGAAATACAATCTGTTACTAGCAGGAGCAGGGAAGTAATTATACCTTTGTATTCAGCTCTGATGAGGCCGTACCTCAAGTATTGTATTTAGTTTTGGACCCCTCACTACAAGAACAATATTGAGGCCTTCGAGCATGTCCAGAGAAAGGCAACAAAGCTGGTGGGAGGTCTGGAGCACAAATCTGATGGGGAGTGGCTGAGGGAGCTGGGATTGTTTAGTCTGGAGGAGAGGAGGCTCAGCGGAGACCTTATCACTCTCTGTAACTTCTTGTTGTAGTGAGCTGGGAGTGGGCCTCTTCTCCCATGTAACCAGTGATAGGACAAGAGGGGATGACCTCAAGTTACGACAGGGAAGATTTAGGTTGGATGTTAGGAAATACTACTCCTCTGAAAGAATGGTCAGAAAAACTGGAATGGGCTGCCCAGGGAGGTGGTGGAGTCCCCATCCCTGGAGTGTTCAAAGAATGTTTAGAGGGATATGGTTTATTGAGAACTGTTGGTGATAGGCAGACAGTTGGACTGGATGGTCTTGTAGGTCTTTTCCAACCTTGGTGAATCTATGACTCTATGATTCTAAAGGAAGGGCACGCTGAGAGACTGCAGTCACTTTGGGCCACTGCAGCTGTTAAACCAGACATGCCCAACGCATGGCCCACAGGCAGCATGTGGCCCAGCCCAGCCCACTCTGTGGCCACCCCCAACCCTGCACCATCATGGCAGTGGCTCTTCACTACTAAGCAGCCCAGCCTGGCCCCAGGCATGCAATCACCACTCAGTAACAACCAAACACCGGGCACGGGGAGGACACAGTGCAGTGCTAACTCAAGTTATAGCAAATAATTGTATGCATCTTCATACATTGGATAAATATAGTCCTGTGTGAACAGAGAAAAAGTACTCAACCATGCTTTCCATTTTGATGAATTAATTTGAAAATATGTTTCAAGATTGCAAAGAAGCAATCATCACTTTTTTGGAGTATTTGTGACTGTTTTCAGTCAATGTTAATACGTTACCTATACATTTTCTAATGTACAGAGTTGCAATCATATAGTCAACTCAAAAATCTGATCATGTCTCTAACAGCACAAGACCTGTCTTACAAGAGAAAAATGTCTCTCACTTCACAATCACGCCTTATTTGTGACAGCACTTTTTGGCTGTATTTACATAGGTGAGCAGCTATTGTCAAGGATAAAGCACAGGAAGATTTCATCAGAAATATCTGATGAGCACAGTTGAGAATTGCCATCGAACAAGAGTGATGTATTAGTTTAACAAAAACAAGGTAAAATATCTGACTAGTTTTATGGTTTTATTACTCTTCCTTTTTTTTTTAGAGATTTAATTTAAAATATCAGAAATTAAAATAAGCTTTGTTACTTATATGCATGAAATATGTATTTTACAAGGGCTGCTCCAAAAGTAATGCCTCCCATTTTATTATGTTGACCTGTAATGTCAGAGGTGGATGATGATGGTTTGGCAGTATAGGTTGAACTTTCCCAGCAATATTTCATTATGTTTTGTTGCTGTGTGACAGATGGCAGCAGAGAGGCAGTCTGACAAAATGGTGTCTGACATAGAAGTGTGCATGAAGCAAAGGTATGCAACTCAGTTCCCCCCAGTGGAAAAATGGCACCCAGTTACTTTCATTGATGCTTGCTGAATGCTTATGGAGAGCAAACAGTGGATGTGATTGCAGTGAGGTAGTGGGTGGTGTGTTTCAGCAGTGGCATCACTGTGATGTGAAAGGCAAGCCACATTCTGTATGGCCATGCACAGTTGTCATATTACAAAATGAAGAGATTAGCTAATGGTGGTGACTATGTTGAAAAATAGTGTTTTGTACTGATAATTTTTCTCTCTCAGACAGTGTTATTGAATTCTTTGTATCTGTTGCAGTGTCCATGGAAATGAATATGAGACATTAAATTCAGAGCAACGTATGTAAATCTCTGTCTCTTGTATTTTTATTTCCTATACAAAAATATCTTTCTTCTTCAAAACTCAGTCCCCATGTCCCATTAGTCATGGAACCAGTACAAACCAACCTATAAACCACTGACATTTGATCACCATGGCACACTGTAAGAATGGCATCACCATGGCCTCCTGATGTCACAGGTCGCCTCACAGCCCAGTGTCCCAAGCCCTTGGAAAAGGGGAACCCTGGTCCCAGAACCCCAGTTGCTGAGCAAGAGACGCCAGTGGCTGCACTGAGCTCAAGAGCCGAGTGGTTGTTTCTGTTTGCTGAGGAGGCAGGATGGATTGTTCTCCTCCAAAGAAGAGGCGGCTGATAGAGTGGCTCAACACCATCGAGCCCATGGAGGTGGACCCTCCTGAGAGCGATGAGGAGCCCATGGAGGTGGATCCAACTCCATCAGGGCAGAGCCACCATCAGCCCATCGCTCTCAGGAAGTGGCGGAGGAAAGCCAGACCCAGAGCCCACCCCTACTACTGGAGTGGCCTGAGGTCCGGTCCACCTCCCCGCAGATAGCCGCCTCGGTGCCAGCCCTGATCCTCCCATCCTGTAAGTTTATCATTATCTGACACAGCCCCAGCTTTCCAAACCTCTCTGCAGGCTTACATGAGACATTCATTTCCTGTGAATTCTTCTTTTGACAGCCAAGGTTCCTGTGAACCCATCCTTCCCATCCCAACCTCCTGTCCCTCCCCAAGTCCTCTCATCTCTTCTTCACCAAGATGAAGAAGGCAGGGACTGGCAGCCTCTGAGCCGCTGCACCAGGGCAACAGGAGGAGTCCAGCAGAGGGACCCGAGCTGCTCGGGGATGTGAAGTGTCAAAGGTGTCACTGAGGGTGGCTGTTCCTGTGGAGAAGCAGAAGACTTTGGTTGTGACAGGAGGAAGGCTGACATTCAGCATGAAGGACTTTTTCAAGCTTGGACAGCAGAAGATTTTTAAGAATAGAAAATTTAATATAAACAATTAAAAACAAACAAAAAAAAACAAACAGAAAAAAAACCACTAACACCTAAAGCCACAAAAATAATGTAAACAATAAATATTCTTCTGGGGTTTTTTTTTTGAACTTGAGAACCTGTGTGAATTCATGCGTCCTCTTCTAGTCTTCCCAGTACCGAAAAGACATTGCCATATGGGGTGAGGGCCCAGCCCAGGGCCATAGGGTGTGGAAGGGGCCAAGGCACACAACCTGTCTGGGCAGCCTGTTCCAGCACCTCACCACTCTCTTGGTAAAGAACTTCCCCCTGATATCTAACCTAAATCTTCCTTCCGAGAACTTAAAACCATTTCCCCTTGTCCTGCTGTTATCTACCCTTTCAAAGAGTTGACTCCCCTCCTGTTTGCAGGCTCCCTTTAGGTACTGGAAGGCTGCAATGAGGCCACCCCACAGCCTTCTCTTCTCCGGCCTGAACAAGCCCAGCTCCCTCAGCCTGTCAAGATTGGGTAGGGCTTTGGGGCAACCTCATCTAGTGAAAGATGTCCCTGCATGTGGCAGGGGGATTAGATAATTTTAGAATTAGACAACACAAACCAGTCTGACTGCAATGAATCTAACCCAAAGAACCAACAAGCAGTCCTCTTGAGATTAGGTCTTCTTGGTAACCCTACAAAAAACAACAGGAGCCAAAGGGAGAAAAGAAACTAGGAAGTAGCTGAGAGGGGAGATCTGCCTCCATTTGTCCAGTGGAGTCTGTGTTACCTCTTCCATCTATTCAGTGCACAAAAGCAAAACATTGGAAGCATCCTGGAAAAGAAAGTATCTTGGGTCTCCCTGACACCATGGTAGCATAGACATGACAACCCCTCAATAGAAACACCAACACAACTAGCTTAATTGTTGTTCAACAACAGTATGCTCAATTTCTTGGCACACTGTTTGCAATTTAGTCACTACACAGGAAACAGGAACACCCCCCCTTTGCTCTTAACTTGATGTTAGGAATACTTTCATGCTGCTATAGGTAAATAGCAGTCAAATGATAGGGGACACCCACATACGTGGCTGTGCTCCTTTTCCCTAAGGACTAAGAAAACAGATATCAGGAAAAGGTTCCTTCCAGAATTCAAGAAGCTTTTGGACATCAGTCCCCAGAATGTGGTTTGAATTTTGGTTGGCCCAGTGTGGAACAAGACACTGTTTCCCACAGCCATCACTGGGAGTAACTGGCTGCTCACAGCTTGGACAGGTGTACAGTTCACTGGCTGTAGAAGCAGATGGGTGCCTGGGCTGAAAGTGTTACAGTGGATGGAGGACTGCTGATATGACTGAGGGTAGGAAGATTCTGCATAGGGGTATGAATAGGCTACATGAATGGGCTATGTCCAATCACATTAATAAGACTAAATTTGACCCGTTTACATTGATCAACATTTGCTGAACATTTATGGAGACAAAACAGTGGGTGTGAGCACAGTGAGACAGAGGGTGGTGGGTTTCAGCAGTGATGACAGTGACGACAGTGACATGGAAGACAAGCCACGTTCTGGATGGCCATGCAGATTTTTATAAGCAGGCACTTGTTTGTTGCTGGTAAAAATGCATAGCTAATAGTAGTGACTATGTTGAAAAATAGTGTTTTGTAGCTGAGAATTATCTCTATTAGATAATATTATTGCACTTTTTGTATTGGTTCGGTTTCCATAGAAATAAATAGGAGACATTATTTTCAGAGCAACTTACATATATACAGCCCACCTCTTCATTCATAGTGGCTCAGGCAGGCCATAAGTTTGGCCATCCATGTCATTGCCTGTTACTTGTTGTTTCTGCTCAAAATACCAGCCTCAATAGCAGGGAAATTTTGTTCTTACTTTCTACGTAGAATTGAAATTGTACAGAATAGATTTATATTTAAATGGCTTACTGTGAAAGTAAGAAAGAGAGATCAATTTTCAGAGTAATTTCAAGTTAAGCCATAGGATAAAATACCCAGACATTTACTATTCAAAATGGTATATTAAGCAACAAAATAGGCCATTGTATAGCTTATTTTATTTCTCTTCTAACAGGGTTGGAAGATCATGGCATGCCTGTCAGTTCATGGATGACTGTCAGTTCAATTTACTAACAGAAGAGCTAGGGGTAGTTGATGGAGGACTTACCTCGTTTTTCTGGCAATATTGAAAGGTAAAGGAATTTTAGCACCAATACAACATTAAGCAAGATTTTGTTGAAGATCCAGAATTTTTTCTCTTTCTAGGAAGTATTATTGGTGAAATTAGAAAGAAAGAGACTAGAGACGTAACTTTTAGCACATGGATGACCTTTATCTCTGTAGATCTTTGATTTCTGATGACGTTAAACTCCTAACCCATGTTCATAGGGAAACTGGAACATATGGGATGTAAGCTGACGGTCCACAGAGATGTGTGATTGAGTTGTCACTAACAGACTGCAAAAAGTGACTGACTGATCTCTCTGCCTCTCTGCTTGTCCCCAGCATTTCTTACCTTTCTTCACAGTCTTGGGATTATATTGTGACCTAAATTACAATGGATGATTTTGTAGTAGTCCAGAAGTCCAGTAGTCCAGAAACATTTTTTATTCTGTGTAAAAAAGAGAGAAGATAGTAACTGCTTCTTTCAGGAATGAAAAATCTGTTAGTAAGCCATTAGTGATGAGTTTTAGTGGCAGTATGTACAACTGGAGCTCCGTGGTGTGATCTGGTTACTTATTGGTTTATGGTTTTAATTTAAAGTAGTGCTTTTGAATGTTAAAGCTGTTAAGGGACTTTTCTACTAGAGTAATTGATAGTTTTATTGGATTATCAAGAATTCCAGTGAGATTCTAGGTTTACTGTTTTTATAGATGTAGATATATAGTCCACCCATAACGAGGATGTGGTCTCCATTGATTTACTGTTGCTGGGGAAAGCAGACCAGAAGAATATATTCATAATTTCCACTATTTGCCTTACCCCATCAGTAATTTCACTGATTCCAAGGCAATGTGAGTAAGAGTTTCAATTTTCGACTCTTAAGAATGAATCTGATTGAATCTGAATTCATTTTCTTAAGATGGAACTCTGGGTAAAGCTAGTCAGTAGTTGTTCATTTCTCATTTCTTTTGTATATCTCTCTTTAGTGCTTTAAATGTAGATTTTCTGCATAAAATTTTGATTCCACTGAATTCAATGGGAATTTTACCACTGGCTTCAAGGTCTGTTTTAAATTCTATATTATTCATCTATTATTTTCTCTCAGAAGTGCGCTTTTACTTTTTCCATACGGTAACTATTATTTTCTACTGTCATTATTTCCTTTTTATAAACAAGACAAAGGGTAAAGCTGACTTTTGGCTGGCTGACACAATATTCAGGTTTTTCTTCATTCAGACCTGTAAGTTTAGAAGTTTGTGTCTACAGCTGGCTGAACATCTGTCCATCAAAATATGTGCACCTTCACTCACTAGCCTAATAAATGTGTTTGAAACAGGTAAGCTTGGGTGAAAGCATGTATGCCAGCTCTTTGGTTTAAGTCAAGAATCAACAGTATTTTGCCTGTATCTGAGCTTTTGTTTTTATCAGTTATGAGGCTCAAAGATTTTCTTTCAGGATGGTACTATCTCTGATCACTGTAAAAGGAAAAGTAACAAATATTTGATATAAATTAAGTCTCAAAAATTAGAAAACAAAGAAAAAGAACCCCTAACTTTTACTTTTTGATAATTCTTTAGGGTAGGGGGAAATCTGATCCCTTGGCTTGTGTTTACAGTGGTGATAAAGAGACGTGATTTTCTTCTTACAAGCTTTAGTAGGAATAAAACACAAATACAAGTTTTCTTTACTAGACTTCAGTAGAGAGTGAAATTGTAAAAAGGGAGGGATAGTGCATGTCAGTATGGAGAAGTAGGTTTTACAGAATCAAATTTGGAGAAATGAAAAAACAGTGCAGTGAATACAATTTAGTGATTTCTTTGGAGTAGGTGTATGTACAGGATTTCTTTGTGTGGAGGTGTATGTAAATCATTTAGAAAAAAAAGAAAACACTCTCTTACAACAGACCATTAGCTTAGGATTTTTTTTATCCGTCAGGAGCACAGTTTAGTGAAATGTCAACATGTACATTTTTTTTGGCAAGTTTTCCCATTTTAAAATTTGATGTGAATTACTTTGAAGTCACTATAAAACATAATAGAAGTTTGCTAAAAATGTGAAAGAAGCCATACCTAGAAGCTGGTAACAGTATTTATTCAATGGGAAGATGTGCTGGTGATGACATATGTCTCTCATCCAAAGGTTTGAGAGGCCATGTGCTATACAATGTGATCTTTCTGCATAAAACACTTTGCTGCAAGGAGATGGCTCATCTTGTTAAGTTTTAGGGGTTAATTTAGTTCAGTCTTCATGAACTACTGTCTCTATCAACATATGGAAAGATTTAGGGTAAAAATACCCTTTCAGCAGTTCAAACGTACTGATGAACAGTGTGTAATCCAAGTGAGATGGAACACTGAAATGTACTGTGAAGGTTTCATAGCTAAGAGCTCATTCCCAGCAAATTCTCCTCACCTTTTGTCCCATGACACTTCAGTTTTTGCTATGTATCTCCTCTATGACATATATATATATATTCTATATGTTCTGTATCGCAGAAAAATTCTAAAATTCTCAAGAAAATTCAAAATACATTACTGAGTCTCTCCAAAACCATGATGAAACAGATTCCTGGACTATCAGTGTGCAAGGTGCAGACAGAATCACAAAGATCTGGAACAGTGATCAAAATAGCTTTTCTATGGCCTAAAAATACTGCAGCCCTTCAGGACTAGAAGTACACCTGTGCCCTGCTGTGAAGCTGGCTGTCTCCTCTTCCTGATCCTGCTGGGTTGTGCTATAGCAAAACTTTAAATTGAAAAATTATGAAGCTGCCATTTGTGCAGGACTGAATCATTCTGCAAAGAAACATCAGGCAGAATAGTTTGAGGTGACACGAAGAGCTGGAAATTAGGTGAGTTTTGATGACAGATCTCCTGAAATAGCTCATGCTGATTTCAGAGCAGAAGAAGACTTAGCCATGATAGAATTACTCCAGGGGGAATGGTCTAGCATGCAGTAGTTGTGATGCACAGTTAAGGACGTGACAAACTAATTGTCTGCAGCAGTTTCATACGTATACCATATATATCCCCTCTATCCACACACTCCCTCATGGAGAGAGGCAGTCTGACTACAAAAAATGGCTTTCACGGTATTCCTTTCCCCCTTCTCCAGTCTGATTCTTCCCTTCCTCAAAATATCCAGGCTCCAGAGAAGGGTAAAGCAAAAGAAGAAGGCTTTGTCTATGCTCTGGTTTCTTCAATTGAGATTATCCACTAGGAACTTTCTTCACTTCATACTGGGAGAACTGTTGTGGCAGTGGCTGAAAATTGGCTGGACACCACTAATACAGTTATTGTAATTTGTCATATTTGGTCTGTAAAGAACACAATGGAAGAATTTCCTGTTTTATTTTCATTATATTAAAGTACTATTTATCAGATAATATTTAATATATTCTTTTCAAAGTCTGCTATATTTTGATTTTGCTATTCTAGATGCCAAATAGGCCAGGAGCTACAATAGAAACAGCCCAAACCACAGAGTAAATAATGCTGAATATCACTGCATTACTGCTGAGGAATTTCTCAGTCAGTTTAATGATGACATAAGTCTATGGGGTAAGCACATCAAGCCATGGTTTGCTTTTGACAGTGAAGCTGGTTGTTATTTGTGATACAAACATTTGTTTTAAACATTGGTTTGGAGGAGCTGTGAGAAAAATGAGTCTGAAAAATATATTTGAGTTACCGTATTCTGTGTCTTCAGAAACTTCCAGTTCAAATACAATCAAAAACTCCTTCTTCCCTAATTGTCTTCTCTGCAGTCTCTGCTAGGAAAAAAAAATCCTTCTTGTGAGCAAAGCTATTAAAGATTCTGCAATTAGAAGAAAATAACTCTGTACTACTCATTCATGGAGCAGTCCATCTATTCACGAGAGTGAGCTTTAAAGAAGAGGTTCTTAGTCCCTAGAGTCTATGTAGGGATTTTAGTCGAGTTGTTTTCCATCTTTTTTATGTTTGCTTATTATTTTCTGTAATTAGCATTAGAATGTACTCCTTGAAATCCCACCATAGATATGCACAGAATAAGAGAAATCTCATTTGACAAATGGAGAGAACCCACAGTTGTTATAGCCTTTTGCTCAGTTCATTCTATCTCCATTTCCTGGGAGAAGTGGAAAGATCAGCAACCCGGAAAGGGGCCCTTTCTTCAGAGCAGCTTGGGCACCCCTAGCAAAGCTGACTGTATTGACCAATATTACTTTAGGTTCCTGTAGATCTGCACCATTTGAAAGGTGCTGGAGCATTTTACGCCTGTTTTAAATGGGAGAATGCTCAGCTGTAGATTAATTGCTATAATGTCTCTTCATGACAGATTTTCTAAGGATGTGCAGGACAAAGGGTAGATATGAGTCACCTCTCAATATGGTATTGATAACTGCATTAAAATATTTGCCTGTTGTCAAAACAAGTCTAGAGCAAAGATCTGTTTGAGTTTTTTTTTTTTTGTTTTTAATATGTAGTCAATATGTTAAATATAAACTAATGACATTGTTAGAGTCTCTTGCCTTAGCCCAAGACCCTACGCTCCAGACCTTTATGCCATCAGGGTACTAAGTGTAGACAAGATCAGGTGTGGTGCACAGAAATGCTGAGATGCTGTAGGACAGGGACAGTATTGGTGAAGGACAGGGAGAATACTGCAACAGCCCCTTTGACTTTGAGAAGTGATGCTGCCTAAAATGTTCAGAATGTTAAAGTTTAAGCTCAACTTTAATAATGAATAGCATTTGGGCCCTAAAAATTAATTCTGAAATTAATTCACTCATTGTGAAATTCTGCTTAACTATGCAAACAGAGAGAAAGTCATAATGACAAGATACAGTAGTACAGCGGGACTGAAAAGAAATCCTGATCAGCAACTCATCTCTGCTGTGGCAATGAAGATGTGATATATACACATAGGCTTATTTCCCAGTTTCTATTTGTCTCTTACAGCATTACTCTTGGCTCTGATGTTAGTAATATTTATCTGCTTGGTTTGTTTTTCTTATTTCCTGAATTGGACAACTGAGTGAATCAAGGACATCACTATGAAATGAGAAAGGAAGCTGATGGTGATCGGGCCTTGCTAACAGTTGGAGCATGAGACCAATTAATGTCTTACTCTCCTTTCTGTTTCAGTTTGGACTTAGCTAGAAATTGAAACAGTTAGGATTTATGTCCAAAATTTTCTCTTTTCAAATACCGTTATTGATTTAGAAGTCCAATAATTAAAAAACATAGTCACTGAAAGCATTGAGAACACACTGCATTTTCCCAGCTAAGTTTTAAACCGTTTCTGCTGGTCAGTATTTAAGGTTTATGGAATCTTATCTTAAACAGTGACAGTAGGGGAAAGTCAACATGTTCCCACACACCTAAAACAGGTTATTGTGGCATTCATTTTTCCAAAGCTGGATGGAGCCCTCAGCCAAGGCTGATGTCTCTGGGAGGTCAAAAGGGACTGATTTTGCAGGACGGTGGTTCTCCAGGACCTGATTATGGTTCTGTGGGTGTGCCATACGTGGTACTAGAACTCAGCAAGTAAGTCCAGGTGTAGTTATCTCATCTTGCCAGGTCTTCAGATTCAGTATTCCTCTGTGTCTTATTTGAGAGCACATCCAAGAGTACAGCTAACCCAGGCTCTGAAGCCTTGTGCTTGAAGTATGTGTTTATAAAGAAATACATAAGAGAGAAACTGATGCTAGGAAATAGCATGAGATACGTATCTGTGTGTTAAACAAACAGACTTTTCTCAGTTTTCTAACTGGAAGCTCTTAGAAAGTCTAAGAGGAGTTGGTTGCCAAAAGAAGGGCTCTTCTTACACAGAGGAAGGCACACCATTTCAAAGAATGGTGAAATGTTAAGATCTCCTCAATTCTAAATATGTCCTTGCATAGCATGTGGATTTGGTCACCTCTGCATAGTGTAGCAGCTGTGCTGGATGCTAATCGAGGCATCCATTTGCCCCTGAATGCATGGGCTCCACCACAACCACCAGGGCCCAGAAGTCAGCCACTTGTATTGGTGATTGAATTTGATTGCAAGTGTGGGTCTTACTCCCTAAACTCACTAGCCATGCCTTGGTGATTCACAAAGACGTTTTTGATCTATGCTATTGATGTAAATCAAGGATAATCTTCCTGGAGTCACTCCAGGATATAATTGTTTCTGAGATAATTAACATTTCTTTGTATGCGTACAGATGATCCATGCTGGCTCTTGAGTTTGAGGGAGAATTGAACAACATTGATTTGAAAATAAATAGGGAATTACAAAATTTAAAACATCTTTGCTAACCTGCAGCTAGGGAAATAAAGCAGTATTTAAAGAATTAAGTTTACACAGATGTGAAGCAACAGTCTTTAATGGGTATCTTAGAAACTATGAAATAAAACCACCACTACCGTGAAGAACAACAAAAGGAAAGGAAACTTGTGGAGATTAAAGATTCCACTAGCACAGAACGTAGTTGTTATTTTATTTTTTTTCTTTTCTGAGAAAAAAAAAACAACATGATAACGGATGCAGAGCTAGCTTGTGATCAGGCTCATTACTACCTTGTTATCAAAGCAAGAACCAGATGGCATGACCTAGCAAGGGTAAGAAGAATGTTTTCTTTAAATAAATAAGCAGCACTAATAGATTTCAGAACATTATGCAATGTTGATCTTCAGATTCTATAAATATTCAAAAAGACCCGTTCAAAACAGCTCGTTAATGATAAAAACTTACTATGGGAGTAAAAAAAAAAAAAGAACAATTTCAATAATGCTCAATTTTTGTACTGTTAATTATATAGTAGATGCTATTAGCTATCTCTGAAACTTTCTTCGTATTTTATTTCTGTTGTTTTTATATAATATTTCTGTTATAAGCATAGTCACGGGCTTTGTCTGAGGCTCATTTGATTATGCCTCATCCACACACCTACTGCCATGCTGATGCCCAGTGTTGCCCTGCACACTGAAGCACTGATTGGGATGACTACGCCATCCAAAGAGACTCTCACAGAACTGTCCCACAAAAACTTTTTCAACATTTTTGGAGCTTTTTTTGAATAGCTGCAATGCTTGGACAGTAAGGTAGCACAAGGTAAAACGAATGTAATTTTTTTGAGCAATGTTTGTGTACACTGGACAATAAAGTCAGTTTGTAAAATGAATGGTTTAAAATAAAAAGGCACAATTTAATTTATATTAAGCATAGAACACATCGGTGAGAAAATCTGCAGGTCTGCCTTTTTTACAGTGTCTTCATCTCCTGCTGGCATGCTTCAGCACTGGGTGTACCCACATCTGCAAGTGCAGTTCTTACCTTCATATCCCTCTCTGCCATCAGGAAGAAATCTTCAACACAGAGAATATCACCTAAACACCTGTGATGTTAATCTCGGTTAAGGCTTTTGGGAGTTGCACATCTTTCATGTAGGAAGGAGTAAAAAAGCAGATAAAAAAATTTTTAAATGAAAATCAGACATGCATGATTTTCCATTTTTTTTTCAATTCCCATCATTCATTAGGCTTACAGGGAGATCAAGCATTTTGTCAAACTTGTTGGTTCTTGTTAGAGATGATTTCTTTTACGTTCCAGAATGTTCAGGAATTTGACAGTGAAAGAAATGGCATTATACAGCCAGAGAACATGAAAAAAGTCTTGTTCAGATTGGCATTGCAATCACCCCAGAGGAATTTAAGAAGCTTTGGGCAAGGTATGACAACTCTAAATGATTAGCTCTTGCAATAATGCATCTTTTATAGGATTACAGAGCCTTTGGTAGTGCAGTGAATGACAATAGATTGCATTGCACAAGAAATCTTTTATTTTGTTATGATTGGGACCTTAGATCATGACAGTGTCTAACAGGAGGCTACGTCTTATCACACTGAGCTCAGGAATACAATTAGATCCGTAAGTTTCCCATGAATTCAAGGACAAGACTTTATCTTGACTTCAGTTTTACTGATCCCTTTAATGTAATATACATTTTTTCCTTGAACGGCACCTTAGGTCACTAGCTACCACCAGCTTGTTTTTCATCAGTTTTGTTTTATACACACAAAATGCCTACCTTAGTTTGTGTGGAGTGAAAGTCAATTCCAGGTGTCTCTGGTCAGCTGGGAAATGCACACAAAGCTTCTATCAAGGAGGTCCTAGAGGGTCTATTACGTACCTGTAAGAGTTTGTGCTACCAGCCTCTCATTTTCAAAGCGTTAAGTTTGCTTACAGTGTTTTCAACCTAAACAAAAATGATTCAGTCAAAAGAAAAATGGTACATACCAAGTACATAACAAAAGAGGGTAAAGTAATTTCATGCTGTGTAAAGATGGCAAATAATATCCTGAAATGTTTTTATAGACAAGCAATTTGTTGTGAAGTGGCTAGAAATACTTGTCTGCCTTCAACAAAGAGGAGCTGTGCTACAGACTGTTTAAGATGGCATAGATGTCAGCTGTATGTGACATTATATTAAAACTTGCCTTCGTTACAGGTCTATTTAAAAATATAATAACCTTCTCTAACGTGTAGAACCTGAGTGTATTGCTTCTTGGTTTCAAACTGCATTAACTGCATGTTTTTTTCTTAAAGCCGATTCATCTCTGAATTTTTTTCAACTCCATTAGATTTTACTTTCCATTCTTATTCCTTATGGATGCCACGGCACAGTGAAGAGTATCCTTTTCATGCAGTTATTTGCTGCACAACTTCACTCCCATCAGCCACTCCTTTTATAGAATAGCTCAAATCTCTTTCGTGCCGTTATGTCTGTAACTTGAATAAAGGAATTAGAGTGAAGCTGAAGCTAAATTAGGCATTACCATGCATTGGAGCACTAACGGATGGGGGGTGAGGGGGAACTGCAGGGGAAAAATCTTTGGAAGGGTTTATGCCTAAGAAAATATGAAGAGTGTTTATGAATCTAAGCTCATATTTCTAAAGGATGATTGCAATTCTGAGCATCTCAGACTTGTGTGACCCATTTGAGACACCTGGGTCTGAATTTTTACCAGTCCAGTTCTCTGTGTCTCAAGTCAGACACTAAAAGGTAGCAGTTCTGAGAGCTGGAGAGTACTCCTGACTATTTGGTCCTTGGGGTAGTGCTTTCAGAATTGATTCTGTGATTACAAAGCTAAATCCTATCTTTCAACTCTCATAGAAAGTCACTTATTCTCCGTGTGGTACAGCACCTCTGTAAGAGAGGGAAGTCAATGAGATTTAAGCTGCTACAGCACTTAAGGACATCTGTAATGTCATTCTATGAGGAAGGAACACATGAATATTTTAAAAGAGCATTTCTTTTTCATCGTATGATAAAGATGCAACAGAATATCTTACCAGGAATTTTTACAGAAACTGGGGATGGAGTTTGCACCCACTGACACAAGGCTCAGCAGACTCATCACAGAAGGCATCAATGCAGATGTAAAAACAATCTGTAATCGTCAACAAAAGAAGCATTCAAGGCTGGAAGAGCAGCACCAACAGCAAACTAAAATTCTGCATGTAACAAAAGTGTACATGACTTATTTTACAGACTTCATGGCTGCATGTCTTCTGAGAAATCCATGTCCAGAAAGAGTCTCAGACACCACTATCTGTGCTGCTAACCTGCCAAAACAGTCCCCTCCAATGCTTTGGCTTATGTCAGTTCATGCTTTCCCTGATCTCTCCCAGCACAGTTTGGGAGCAAGAATGCCCCGAGGACTATTCCTAATAGGCTGTTTGCAGGCAGCTGCTCTCTTGCAGTGGCTGAGAAGGTTCAGTAAGCGGAGAAGCGCCAGCTGGCCTCTATGTCCAGAGCACTCCTGGACTGGTTTGTTGATAGCCTAATCTTGTGGTTCCAGTCCAAACACTTCTATCAGCACAAATTGAGGGAAAAGAACAAATGCAGTTTTGTCACCCTGCAGGTCTCGTCTGAGACCGGGCAATGTAGACTTAAACCAATCTGATCATGATCATTGGGTGTTTTTCTTGTAGCTGGAAGGCTTGAGCATGTAGCATGCTTTGGTCCCATATCCTACCCTGTCCCTTGGATGAGGGCCAAGTACAATCACAGTTGGTTTCACAACCCTCTAGCAGCTACTTAAATTGTCAGTAAATGACTGCGTAGAAGCAGCAAAAGACAGCCATGACAAGGGTAGACCCTGGCTCCATATGAGAGAAATAAACATCTCTAAGCTAGAAGAGTCTCTGCCTCAAAGAAAATCAACATTCAGAGTTAATAGATGATTGCTCTTGAGAAGAGCATTTCACAAACAAATGACAAAATGATATCCTACTCTGAGTGGAGTCTAATGATCCACGCTTGCCCTGGTGAGTGGGCAGTGATTTTAGCCTGCTGCTACTATGGGATTCCCACTCCTGCCACCAGAATGGGGCAACAGGAGAATCCTTTGCCCCACTACAACACAGTTAAAACCTTGTATTTCCGAGCTGTAGACAGACAACACCTGTATGAATATAATGCTTTCTATTCATGCTTTCACTGTTCTCTTGAACTATTTTTTATATTTTTATTTAGGACTGTGTAAATCTTCAGGAGCAAAACGCATTTAAAAATACACCTCCAAGAACCCAAATTTGCTTTCTTTTGTGCTTGGAAAGTGCCTAGGTGTTGTAGGAACTAATAAACTATTGATGATAATAATGATAATTCCCCATGGCATTGTTGGTAGGGTGATACACTCATAAAAAAAAAAAAAGAAGAGCAGCCTTGTCTGACAGATAAAGTGGCAGCTTGGGAAAATACTAGACAAAAAAAAAAAAAAAAAAGAGTGAGAACACCATAGAGAAGTCCTGTTAGACTAGCCAAGGCTCTTGACTTTCTACCCCATTTTTTTTAATACTGTTTGCCAGTTTCCCAGCTAGACTGGAGGAACCAAGGGCAAAACTTTTCTTCCTTTTCAGCATCACAGCTCTCCTACTTGCACTGCAGTCCCCAACGTTGTAAACTCTACTCATGACACCCACAGATATCACTGAGCCTTCCACCTGTAAAAAATTGTACAATATACAATAGGGATGGTTAAGCAGCTACTATTACAGCCTTTGCTTATTACTGTAGATGTAACTATCTGATGTGAAACTTAGACCTGAAGTGTCTCATACAGGGCTCCTGCTCCTTTTGTTGTAGCAGCTGATTGTCTCCAGTCTTACACTTGGATGAAGAGCAGCTTTGGAAGCTCCAACTTTTGGAAGCTCCAACTTTTGACCCATTAGTGCAATGCCAACTGCAAAGCACTACCTTTAGTGCTATAAAGAGAAAGTAAATAAAGAAGATGCTGTACTGCAAGCAGAAATTGTGCAGTGTATAACAAAGATACAAATACTCACTCTGAAGCAGCTGGAGGGTGATTAATCCAATGGGGAAGACATGCAGGGTTAATATAAATAGTAGTGATGTGAAATCCTGGCTGGTCCATATCATTTAGAATGATGAAGTTTTGAGAACTCACCGTAACAACAATTGTGTATGTAACTATGTATGTGACAACAATACACACAAGTACATACCTAGAAGTGCATAGCGGTTGCTTTATCATAATATGAAACAAAACAGAAATTGGCAGACTGAGCCAAGGGTAACTGGATTCATTTACCTGGCAGTAACCAGAGCCAGATGTTTCTGCTTGAGGTGAAGCAGTCCACTAGTAGGTGGATGTGGAATACTTTGCCCCTGTGCTGGGGCTCTCTCATGCTGGGTTATGACGAAGCTTGGTTTAAGCCTGTCAGATAGGACTTTCATATCACTTTCAAAAAATATGTTATAATTATTTGGTAGATTCTGGCTTTCCTTGATTTGTATGTATAAAATATCCAATTCTCAATCTTTTCAAATTTCTGGCATCTGTGCCTTCCTCTGGGAATGGATTAACATCTTAACCACTTGCAGTCTGCAAAAGTAAGTCTCGTTACTTATTCTTGTCACCTTTCAGTTCTCTTGAATATTCTCCTTGTCTGCTATGCTTTCCCATCCACTTCACATCCAGTGGGAGCAGTCATGTCATAGTGGTTTCTGTTTGATTTTCTCTCTTAGAAAACTGAAAGGGCAAGAGAACTTGAGTCCAGGCCTCTGAACTCCTCAGATTTCACATTAGACCTGAGAAAGCCATAAATGAGTTAAGCTGGAGTCATTGTCTGGTGAATGAAATCCAGCTGCACAGTGGCCATGAAGGCAGGAATCCAGCAAGTGTCAGCCTCCAACACCAAATAGGACAGCTGAAATATGGAAAATGGAGGTGGGCACCGTGCCTTCTACTACATTAATCAGCACAAGGAGATCTGTTCTTGGTCAATGGATACAATAGTTGCAGAACCTAACCTTGGTGATGCAAGTGGGCCTCAGCCCCCACTTCATTCTAAATGTGTTGAAAAACAAATTTATTTCACTGATTCCTGTCCAGTTCTGACTGGGAGGAGAGAGTTGCATGAGATGTAAATGAGTTTATTTTTAAAGGACCCACTTTAATACCACTGGGAACACACCCAGTGACTCTTCTGTGATCTTGCTTAAGTGTCTCCTTGCTGTTTGCACAGTGGCTGCATTTCATCCATATCTTTTCTTCTGGCTTTATGCAGGGACTGCAAACCTCACCCTCATTGCTTTGGAGAAGTTTCAGTGCCCTTTGCTATGCACAGTGAAGCAGACAAAAGCTCTGGACCCTAACAGTTCAAAACATACTGCTGTGCACTTTTCTTCTTCTTCTTTTGTTGTAACTCACA